ATTAATATTATCAGGCAACCCAAACCTGTTTCTTGATTTGAAACAATATCACTCATTAGAACACGCAGAAACTAAGAAATACATTTTTCTATTTAGATATTTATTTTGTTAAGGAAAAATAATGGTCTGGTTTCCACAACTTTCAATTTGGAGCAAAAATCTGGCTTTAAACTTGAAAGAAATAAAGATTTGACATTTATCTTGATAATTATCGCTATCGACTGATATGAAAAAAATTATCATGATAATTTTTTGGGCCATATCGCCCAGCCCTAAGTTGAGTTATTATTGATGTCATCATCTCAGAGGGTGGAGCCGAAAACAGTGCTATGTGCAGGTGGCCGATTCCTGCTAACACTGTATTGACCTTTATTTCTGCTTTCATAGTATTTTATTACTGGACCTTTGTGTTTTTTAATTGGATTTTCTTTTTGTATTTGTTTTTTTTAATTAAAATAGTTTAGGTTTATATCAAATAAATAATTTTATATTGGGTTGATAAGGGAAAGTCACATGGGGTAGTTGCCTCAAGAGCTATATCTCAGATTTTGAGTAAAAACTGACATACATTCGGACAACAATTTGTATAATTAACTATATAATCAAGGCAGATTTTTACTCAGCATTTTATATTTTAAAATGTAATTCACTTTTCTACAATTAATAACAATAATTTTTTTAAGAGTATTAAATGGTAGATTTTCAATAGAAATAAAAGGTCAACGTATGTTCAGTGAACTATATTTTTTCCCCTAGGCAATGACAGTAATTATGTTCATGATTATTTTATTTTATTTTATTTTATTGCCAAGACTTTAAGCTGTAGGACTTTAATTTAATTTAAAAAATAAACATAAACTTATAAACATAAACTTACCTTCAGAAATATTTATTGGGGTGAAATAAGTGTAAAAACAACCCCTGGTCTTCCCTAAAGATTCTTAATAATATATTATGCTTCAAATAAGATGTTTTACACCTTATTTGAAGTAAACAAAATATGATTACCTGGACAAATTGACTGTTCTTTTCTTCCTAACTATTTTCTTCCCCTTAGGCAATGACAGTAAGAATGTTCATGATTTATTTAATTTTATTTAATTTTTTTTATCACTTTAAGGTAAAGGACTTTTACAAACAAACAAATAAATAAATAAACAAACTTATAAACATAAACTTACCTTCAGAAATATTTATTGGGGTAAAAATTTGTAAAATAAGTGTAAAAACTACCCCTGGTCTTTCCTAGAAAGTTTCTTAATAATATACTATAATATATCATTTGATTTGCATCTTATTTGAAGTAAACGAGATATGATTACCTGGAGAAATTGACTTTTTTTTGTAACTATAATAAATCAGGCAACACTGACTGACTCATTCAGAACTGATGAATAGGTTGTCTTATGAATTATTCAAGATCCCTCGATTATGCATGCAGTGCTGTAGTTAATGTCTCTGCATTAGTATAGATACTTGTCTGAGACATCAGTGGTATCACTGCCCCGCCTCCTTCCTGCTTCTACTGCAGTATATAGCTGATCTGTGTGTGTGTGTGTGTGCTGTAGTGTTTGTGTGTATGTGTGCTCTTTAAGCTTCTCTTTATTTACAATCTTTTGGTGTTTCCTTCACCTTCTAACACTGCATCGTTTATTTTTTCCTCTTCATCTCTCCCTTGCTCTGCCTATGCGGTCAGCATCGAGAGCACTGCATCCATTCATGACTTCTGCGTGAGTTGGGCTGGCTCAGCAGAACACTTTTTGCTGGTGTAATGCTGACTCTGTTTCTGAGCGGAGATGTAAAAGCAGTGCTGGTCAGGGGTGAGGCCTCGTCCTTGGAAATATCAGAACGATAGAGTTTCAACAGGGCATTTATAAACTAACTCATGCAGTACAGCTAGAACCACTTCAATACAGCATTACAGCATATACATCTCTCTCCTAAGTGTGGTTATCAGTCATGGTGTGTTTGACGGCTGCTGGTATTGATTTGGTTAGAGATGGCGTATAGACTCAGGTCCCTGCAGTGCCAGCTGGTTGTGAATCTAATGCAGCGTGAGACTTTTAATGACATCACCCACACACATTTGCCAAGCAACAAACAGAATTTTAACTCTAGTGTGTGCGTTCTTAATTGAGGTGAATATCAGACGTTAGGCTTATGTAAGTGCATTGACTTGTTTTCCTGGAAGGGCGCTGTAACCTGAGGAGCTTTAGCATCGATCACCATCTGCCCTTCCCAATCATATAAGACATGATCCTCTCAGCTTTTTATTTTTATCAAAAATATGAGTCTCACATTTCTGATTTTTAAATTCTCTTGTATAATTGTCCCATAGACTTCAATTGTGAGCGCATTACTGTAAATACATTTTTATTGTGTTTTTACCAACTGAAGGATGTCTAAATGATTTCATAACAACCTCAATTAGTATTTTTTTAATCTGAAATATTCCTTTATTTTTATTTATTTATTTATTTATTTATTGCCAAACAAAATAATTGTCTGGAATTTAGGCAATGACAGTAAGAATGGTGAGCTCAAACACAAACACTTTCATACATACATACAAAAATTATTCCAACCATAGGTGCCGATCATTTCTCAGGGGCTCGAGCATCCACGGAAATGATCGAGCACCCACGGAAAAACACGAGATAGTCTTCGTTCATTTTAACCAATAAGAAATGGATTGCAGCTTGTACAACTTTATTCTCGTTTTCATAGTTCATTTGAGGCAGTTTTTGGCGTTATTTTAATGGTAAATGTCAAGAGTGCATTATTGTAATACGAGAAGGTGCCAGCACGAAACTCTCGGCTTGCAGCAGGCTTGCTCTCCCATATAGAGATCATGGCTCTGCGCTCCCTCAGATATTGCGTGTGCGCCCTCAAACTTTGTCCTAGCTGTGTACGCGCGAATATATGCTTATTGTAAACAAGTATTTATTAAATCATTTTATTTAGTGAAGCGCAGCCCTCATAGAAAGAATGTGTATATTATTTGGTTACTAAAAAATGTATTTGCAGTCCGTGTGTTTTACTTCGCAAGATACATTTTGTGAAGTGAATTCCTCAAACACACCATCGAATGGATTATACTCTAGAAAAAATCTAAAACCCAGTATAATTAATTAATGAATAATGAGAATGAAATATTTTAAAATATTACATTTGTTTGTTAAATTTGTATTTTTAGTCATGTAAACAGCGGTGAAAATGTGTTTTATATTTAAAAAAAAACTGCAAGGGTCACTTGCAGAAACATAAATCGGCGCCTATGATTCCAACCATTATAAAGAATGAAATACAGATGCATAAGTGCCAGAAGAGTTTAAAAATGGACCATCCTACAATAGGTACTGTTCAAAAAGCATGCAGACTTAGTTTTAATTGCTCTAAGTCATCTGCCTCAGGGTAAAGAAATAAAAAAAAATGTCTGGCTGGATGTGTGAAATCTCTAAGAATTGTTAAGCCTTTTTACTGCAAACGTGAGTCATATATGTCATCAATGGTGGGCAGATCACAGCCTATAATATTTGAGGCAGTCCGCACTATATTACGAATCTGACATTTTTGTTGTACTGTGGAGCTGCCAAACCACACTATTATTGAGAAAGTCAGCACACTTTCTATGACAGCTCTATAAAACCTGAACATACTAGCTTTAGATACTCCAAATTTTTTGAGCTGTCTTAAGAATTATAATCTTTGATTAGATTTCTTAATAATGCCTCTTAAGTTATCCTGCCACTTCAATGATGCAGATATTGTGGTTCCCGAGAAACTTAAAACTCTCCACATTTTCAATGACCTGGCCATTAATATAATGGTATAACAGCCTTTTTACCCCGTCGAAAGTCAAACACAATTTCCTTTAAGACATTCAATTTCAAATTGTGGGTACAACTCCATTCAATCAATGTAGATACCTCCTTTCTATAATCGGTTTCATCATTATCTGTTATCAAACCAATTATTGTAGTATCATCTGCAAACTTTAAACATTTTTTAACTGATTCACTGTGAAACACAATCATCAATGTATATATAACAATGTTGACAATACACAACCTTGTGGAGCTCCAACACTTATTGTTCTAGGGCTCGAAATCCTGTTGTTAATTTTGACTACCTGTGATCTATTCTGTAGAAAATCCAAAATCCACAAAGCAAGGGAATGATGAACCCATCATCGAATTTTAACAAAGAGTTTTACTGGAACAATTGTGTTAAATTCAGATTTATAATCCACAAAAAGAGCCCTGACATAAGTGTCAGGAGTCTCAAGGTGTTGCAGGATTGAGTGAAAACAAAGAGCAACAGCATCCATCGACTGACCTATTAGTCTTATAAGCGAATTGGTAAGAATCCAGACAGACAGTTGAAATTATATTCTTCAGTACCAATCTCTCAAAGATTTTCATAACGACCTGTGTTAGGGCCACTGGTCTGTAATCGTCTAAGCAGATAATATGCGGCTTTTTTGGCACAGGAATAATTATAGCTGCAATATAACATGCTTTAAACTTTATTCCTTTAAACTCACTGTTAATTTCAGTATTACAGTCATAAATATATTCTGTATTTGTCATTAAACATATCTGCAAGATAGGGTTTGTTTTTCCTGCAACCACTGATCTATATATATAGTAACACGTTTAAGAAATTATGGCCTGGCTAGCAGTCAAGTCTTCATCCAGTCCAGGGTGAACATATGGCCCAACTAATGAATGGGACACAACATTAACAGCAGAGAAAAAGGTCATGTTGAATCATGCATGGTAGACATGAGAAGCATTTGCTCTTGTTCATGCTGACTGATATTTGTGGATATCGAATTTTTGTGTATAATTGCTCTTCAATGGTTCATTCAGTCACCCCCGTTTCAGGCTGCATTATTGATTTGTGGTAATGTTTTACAGTGCTACACCAGATATTTTAAAATAATTTTCAGGTAAAATATTTAAAATCCTTCCTTTCTTTTCTTCGTCTTTGTAAAGGACTGCTTAATTCTAGAAAAGAATGATTTCCACCACCCAGTGTGCTCATTCCAAGATGACTTCCAAGAGTTTGAGATGATTGATGATGAAGATGATGAGGAAGAAGAAGAGGATGCAGATCCTGATGCCCCTCCCTCACCATCAGCATCTCCTCCCCCCTCCCCTACTCTGGGCACCCTGAAGAGCCGCCCAACCACTCTGAACCTGACTGCACCAGTTTCCCAGGTACCTCTTATACACACATGAAATCAATATATCAATAAACATATGTTGTCAGTATTTAAACTCTTCTTTTGGTCCTAATCTCAGGACTCCCTGAACAACAACAGCAATGTGTCACCACGAAAGTTAAGCTGGCAGGATTCTCTTCGAAACCCGACTTCACAGGGTAATTGTTGTTTTATATATGTATATATATATATACAGTGGGGAAAAAAAGTATTTAGTCAGCCACCAATTGTGCAAGTTCTCCCACTTAAAAAGATGAGAGAGGCCTGTAATTTTCATCATGGGTATACCTCAACTACGAGAGACAAAATGAGAAAAAAAAATCCAGAAAATCACATTGTAAGATTTTTAAAGAATTTATTTGCAAATTATGGTGGAAAATAAGTATTTGGTCAATAACAAAATTTCATCTCAATACTTTGTTATATACCCTTTGTTGGCAATGACAGAGGTCAAACGTTTTCTGTAAGTCTTCACAAGGTTTTCCCACACTGTTGCTGGTATTTTGGCCCATTCCTCCATGCAGATCTCCTCTAGAGCAGTAATGTTTTGGGGCTGTCGCTGGGCAACACGGATTTTCAACTCCCTCCAAAGATTTTCTATGGGGTTGAGATCTGGAGACTGGCTAGGCCACTCCAGGACCTTGAAATGCTTCTTACGAAGCCACTCCTTCGTTGCCCGGGTGGTGTGTTTGGGATCATTGTCATGCTGAAAGACCCAGCCACGTTTCATCTTCAGTGCCCTTGCTGATGGAAGGAGGTTTTCACTCAAAATCTCATGATACATGGCCCCATTCATTCTTTCGTTTACATGGATCAGTCGTCCTGGTCCCTTTGCAGAGAAACAGCCCCAAAGCATGATGTTTCCACCCCCATGCTTCACAGTAGGTATGGTGTTCTTTGGATGCAACTCAGCCTTCTTTCTCCTCCAAACACGACAAGTTGAGTTTTTACCAAAGAGTTCTATTTTGGTTTCATCTGACCATATGACATTCTCCCAATCCTCTTCTGGATCATCCAAATGCTCTCTAGCAAACTTCAGATGGGCCTGGACATGTACTGGCTTAAGCAGGGGGACACGTCTGTCACTGCAGGATTTGAGTCCCTGGCGGTGCAGTGTGTTACTGATGGTAGCCTTTGTTACTTTGGTCCCAGCTCTCTGCAGGTCATTCACTAGGTCCCCCCGTGTGGTTCTGGGATTTTTGCTCACAGTTCTTGTGATCATTTTGACCCCACGGGGTGAGATCTTGCGTGGAGCCTCAGATCGAGGGAGATTATCAGTGGTTTTGTATGTCTTCCATTTTCTAATAATTGCTCCCACGGTTGATTTCTTCACACCAAGCTGCTTTCCTATTGCAGATTCAGTCTTCCCAGCCTGGTGCAGGTTTACAATTTTGTTTCTGGTGTCCTTTGCCAGCTCTTTGGTCTTGGCCATGGTGGAGTTTGGAGTGTGACTGTTTGAGGTTGTGGACAGGTGTCTTTTATACTGATAACGAGTTCAAACAGATGCCATTAATACAGGTAACCAGTGGAGGACAGAGGAGCCTCTTAAAGAAGAAGCTACAGGTCTGTGAGAGCCAGAAATCTTGCTTGTTTGTAGGTGACCAAATACTTATTTTACCGAGGAATTTACCAATTAATTCTTTAAAAATCCTACAATGTGATTTTCTGGAATTTTTTTCTCATTTTTTCTCTCATAGTTGAGGTATACCTATGATGAAAATTACAGGCCTCTCTCATCTTTTTAAGTGGGAGAACTTGCACAATTGGTGGCTGACTAAATACTTTTTTGCCCCACTGTATACACAGTATATTTCCAAAACAGAATTCCAAGATTCCAAAACATATGAACAGATAAAAAAAAAAGCTCTATACAAACTCTAACTATTCATGCAATTATTGCATCAGAACGTCACTGATCATATTCTTTTGATTAATATCTATTTTGGATATTTCTGTAGCTATAAATGTAGCCCATTGTTAATCATTTTACTCGCCATTTTAGGTTGCTTGTCTCCAAACCACTCTTGCCTTGAGGATGGTTCCCGTGTAACTACCACATGCCCAGGGGCTCCAGACACCACCGGCTCTGCCAATGGTACACCCTCAAACCCACCAGGACATTGTGGTCTTCATCAGTCACCTGGCAGACCGCTGCTGTATGACTTTGAGGGCAACAGAAAAGAACGACCTGAATATGGTAAGAAATCATATTGCTAATGGCTAATCAAAATTAATATAGGCTACAGTATATCCATTATCATGGTGATATTGGACGTCTTCAGCAACATTTCTCGTTTTGTCCTTATCCTTGTCAACTTATCTAAGTTCCCCTCCATCTCTCTTTTTCTTTCTAAATCTTTCTTGTCTTCCAAACCAGGCTCCTTTGGTCAACATAACTCGTCAAGTGGGTCTGAGGCAACTGAGGTGAAACCTGATGTTGAGGAATCCACTCTAAGTGAGCTTGTTCCCTCAGTGGATGACTGCACTTCTCAGTGCTCCGATACAGAGGTCGACCACGACCTGAATGGTCATACCAAGCGTCGACCTTGCCGCTCTCGACCCAATGACACTTATACCGTGACTACAGAGACTGCTGATGACCCAGAGCTGGAAAACGATGGCACCAGTAGGTGTCTGTCCTCAACCGCACCTCTTGGTAACGATGCTGAGACTCCGCTATCAGATGAGGAGCTGGACAAAGAGTTTGACATTGACTTCATAAGTAAAGATACCTATGATCAAACCTGCAAGGAAGATGAGGCGTCTTCTTACGTTGAGTTCCCCTGCATTGAACCAGCTGAGTCCATTTCTGTCTCCAGCTACGTGTCGTCCAGTCGATCAAACGTGCTTGACGCTATGGACGAACTTCGAAACATGCGTCAGGGTCAACCTGCTGCAAATGACACAACTTCTCCTTCATCTGATCCTGGTATCGCTGATATGAATGCCAAACACTATGCGGCGTCAGACCGCCACAGCGATGACCTTAGCTCTCCTGGATCAGACTCTGATATTGAAGGGGAACTTGAGGCTGCGTTTGCATGTGGTCCACCTGCTAGTAACATGATTTCCTCCATCTCAGAGACAGAGCTGGACCTGACCAGTGAATCCAGCAGCGGGCGCTCTTCGCACCTCACCAATTCCATTGAAGAAGCTAGCTCCCCAACCTCAGACCAAGAACTGGACCAGGAGCTGGACCCTGAACAGGACAGCCATATTGTAGGTCTAAAAGCTTCTCTTCTTCTGGGCCAATCTGAGCCAATTAAACAAGAACCTTCACCAGGTCTAGACCCCAGACCAGACATGTTACAACTAGATGATGGCCAAGCTCTGATGGGCCTGCAGAATGTAGATGACGAACAGGGTTATGAGCACCAGGCCGATCCAGATGAGACTCTTCCCCCTGCCATCCCCTGTGAGGATAGCGGCTCCCAGCAGCTGTTGTTGAAGATTGAGCCTGACCACAGTCTTGAGAGCTTCAAACGCTCCTTCTATTTGCCGGTTGGCCCCAAACTCATGCCCTCTGTGGACGACTATGATGGTAACAGTGAGGGAGAGTCCGAGTCAGAGTCCGAGGACGAGCTCAGTGAAAACTCTGATTCTCCTTGGCTACTCAGCAACCTGGTCAACAGGATGATCTCAGAAGGCTCCTACCCAATCAGCTGCCCAGAAGAGTGCCTCAAACGCTCAGCCTCGATCTCTGACACCATCTCACCCTCGTCGGACTTGGAAACAGATACTTTCAATGAGACGGATGGCTGCAATTCACAAAAGCAGAAATCGGAAGAAAAGTCACAGGAGGTGACCTCTGAAAAGTCAGAGAAGAGACTGGACGAAGAGAAGGAGAGAGAAGCTAGCTATGTATCTGAAGAGGGACAGAAGCAAAGCAAGAGAACGGACACTTGTCTGTACATGAGCAACCCCACATATGGCAATGCTACACCCGTCTTTACAGAGAGATTTGATACGAGGACAAAGAATTATGAATCGGAGGACTTCCCATCCCAGAACTCATTAAAAAACAAGCAGAAAGAAGAAGAGGAGGAGCCAAATAATGACTTGATGATGGAGAGAATGAAGGAGCTGGAGTCTCCCAGCCTGAGCGAGAGCATAATCAGCGACAAAGACGAGGGACGGGAGACACGGGTCGATCAGATCACTTTGCAGCGAATCACAGAAGTCAAAAACAGCCTTACGCTGGACCTCCCAACAGCACAGACCAATCACTGTTTCAGTCTTACGTACTCGACAGATAACGATGAAGATGAGCAAGATACCTCCCCTTTCCTGGAGGATCTTCACAAGGTACCGTCACCCTACGGAAACGAGGCTTACTTGGACAGCTCCCCACCTATTGATGAGAGTGTGCGAGAGTTGAGGAACACAACCTCCGACCGGCCCATCGATGACTCCTTGGCATACGATTCAATGAAGTACACCCTAGTAGTGGATGAAAACACAACGCTTGAGCTGGTGAGCCTGAAGCGCTGCACCTCTGTTCTTAGCGAGGACAGTGATGGACTCTCTACTATTTGTGATCAGGATGTTGTCGATGAAGATGAAGATATTTATGGCCAGGGCCAGATGGAAAGAGGCATGAGACCTGGTTTGCTGTTAAGCTCCTCTGAAGAAGACTCCTCCCCTGAGGCGGATTTACCTTTCTCAAAGAAGTTCCTCAATGTGTTTGTCAACAGCACGTCACGGTCCTCCAGTAAGTGAAATTTAACACAGTTAGTTTATATAGTTCTAGTTCACCCAAAAAATTCTGTGATCATTTACTCACCTTCATTTAATTCCAAACCAATGAGATGTTTTGGAAAATGTGTTCAATCGTTTTTGTCCATACAAAGAAAGTAAATGTGGTCCAGTATTGTTTTGGACCCCATTAACTTTCACAGTATGGACAAAAACAGAAGAGATAATGTTATACAGGTTTGGAATGCCATGAAGGTGAGTAAATGATGACAAAATTTTTGTTTTTGTCAATGATCCTTTCATTTTGGTTTCTTTGAAAGATTTCTTGGTGCCAAAAAGCCATCCTTTGTTATTGTTTGCTCTCTCGCTGGATTAAACTAATATGACTAACACAGCAAAAATTTTAAAGCTACTGTAAAGGTTTAATATACAAATATGCTCAAGGAGGAAACGCAAAATAAATTGTTGTATATTACCTAAATAAATGACCAAATTAAATGCATTCCCATTCACAGAGCCATTCTGAGTCCTTTTAGTAGTTTAAGAGATTTAGATGATCATTTTACATAATTTAGGAGCCTGTCTCGCTGAACAGAAAGGATATTTAATAATCCTAATGAGATGACATCAGAAGATGTCAGAAGGATTTTGTATGACCTGCTTCTAAATGAGTTTTGCGGTACTCTGTGACACACACACACACACACACACACACACACACACAC